TTACCTTGTGTCATAATAGTTTGAAAGATTTTACTTAATACCTTCCTGTTAATGACTGTTTGGTGTCAAAGCGCAGTGCTGTTGAGGATGTTAAAGCACCTTGAAGCAGCCTGTTTTACAAATATATAATAGTTAAGTTATTTTATTTTACTATTATTATTTTATATTATTTCATTTTTTCTCACTGGAAAATTATACAGAAATATTTGTAATTAGCCTTTATAACAGCTCAAGAAAAAGTCTTTTATTATTACCATCCCCGATACACAATTTTACTCTCTCCTTACTCAATTTGTTTTTTTTTTTTTTTTGAGGAAGGTTGGCCTTGAGCTAACACCTGTAGCCCATCTTCCTCTTTTTGCTTGAGGAAGATTGTCCCTGAGCTACCATCTATGCCAATCTTCCTCTATTTTGTATGTGGGACACTCCCACAGCATGGCTTAGTGAGTGGTGCATAGGTCTGTGCCCAGGATCTGAAGCTGCAAACCCCAGAAGCAGAGCACAAGAACTTAACCACTACTCCACCAGGCGAGCCCCTCAAATATTTTTTAGTTATAAATAATAAACTAATATTTCTTTACCTCCTTTCTTAGATGAATTCTATTTAGTATAGTGTGAGGAGTTAGACCAACTACAAAGTCAGGCACAGTCTTCAGGACTATCTTCTCTTCGGAAACCAACTTTGAGTTCTAGGGGTTGCCAAAACCACCCTCAGTTTCATTTTGCTGGAAGAGATTCACGAAACTCCCTGAAAGCTGTTATATTCATGGTTACAGTTTATTACAGGAAAAGCACATGGATTAAAATCAGCCAAGGGAAGAAGTGCATAGGGCAGAGCTCAGGAGAAATATCAAACACAGAGCTTCAATTCTTCTCTTTCCGTGGGGTCAAGATGTGTTACTCTATCAGCTTTGGTGTGTGGCAATATATGCAGAATATTGTCAACTAGGGATCCTTACCTGAGCTTTGGTGTCCAGAGATTTTTCTCAAGACTTAATCATGATTGATTGGTTGCCCAAAGGGTTAATCTCAGTCTCTAGGTTGATTGATACCACATGACCCAAAGCTCCTACCCTGGGTCACAATGTTGGTCTTTCTGACATGGCCAGCCTCTACCCTAAGACTATATGAGTGTGGCTAACTCCCACCCTAAATCACATTGTTAGACCATCTGGTATGACCCAAGATACCCAGGCAAAGAAAAACACTGTAGATTACCTTCCAGAAGCTGAGGCAAAGAGCAGACTTCTCTTGGGACAAGGCCAAATTCTTTACAATACATATGGGTGGTTAGAAAACTTAGGGATTTCCATTTTCTTACATGTTAACTGCATTTTTTCCTCTATAAATTTGTACTTTGTTCCTAAAACTTTTATATTTCTTCATGAAATTAGTGTATAAATAATTTGAAATATATTATTACTGAATAGTTGATCTCATGTATTTGGATAGAAATAGTTGTTCTCCAATCACCTATTTTATCATATAACATTATCATTATCTTATCTGAAAAATTATATGAAATTACTAAAATAATTTAATAAAAACATTTTAGATACTAGGTATTTATTGGTTCATTATGAAATATTTATTTGTTGAATTCACCCCATATGTCAGAGATTATATTAAGTAATTTGTATGTAATAATAAATAAGACCTAGTCCCTTTCTCAAAGAATTACAGTCTAGCAGAAGAAATAACAACTAAACAATTATAGTAGAAAGGGATAGTTACAATGAACATGTACAACGTACCTGTACAATGAACATGTACAAAAACATGCATTCCAGAGAAGAAAGGGGTATCTAAATTATAAACTGAAATCAGCCAAGTGATAGAAATGAGAGGTGAGGGAATCCAGGAATGCAAGTGATGCATACAAAGGTCTGCAGGAAAAAGAACACTTGGCAAAGTGTATGTTGTTGACAGTGGCTGGAGCACTGGAGGTGGGTAAGGGGGCAACTGGAGGAAGTAGCAAGGCTCTGCACTTCATCCCGACACAAAAATAAGTCTCATTATGTGCTTATGAAATGCTGTGATTGTCATGGGCTATATGAACTTGCTAACCTAATTCTCCTTGTAGCTGAAAAGAAGTGAATATGTAGTAAGCAAGTTGACTAGTTCATTCAAACAATGTATATTTAATGTCATTATGTTCCTGGCACTGTATTGCTCCTGGGGATATAGCACATACAGATGTACACACATATAACACGGAGATAAAATGCTGAGGAAGACAGACATACTTCCTCCTTGCATAAAACTTGCAGTCCTCCAGGGAGACCAACTTTAATCATACAATGTGGAAATATTTATTGAAATTGAGATATACGATATGACATAAAGTAAAAGATGCTATGACAAAATACAAGAGAAAATGGAAAGACTTGCTTGAGGAAATGACTTGAACTGGTATTGATGTGGGGAGGGTAGGTGTTGTTTAGGTGAAAGTGGTAAGGGGGTGGGTTATGAGGGGATCACATTCCAGGAGAGGAAACACCATGGAGAACCAGAGATGAGAGAAAATGAGATGCATTTAAGGTCCTAAAAAGGGAATGTTCTTCTAAAGAGCAGAGTGTAAGAGAAATAGTGGCACTAGGTTAGCTAGAATATTGGACTAAATCTAGAGAATGGAGCCAGGTTGGCCATTATAACATTTAGGGCTTTTATTCAAGGAAGGGGAAAATTTTTAAAGGTTTTAGTTTGTCTGTCTTTACAGAGAGGGATGATTTGATCATATTTGCATTTTTAAAAGATCACTTGAGGTGGCAAGTGGAGAAAAGAATGGAATGAGATGAGGTGGAATTCATGACCAAATAGGATATAATAGTTCATTGAGGGAAGTTGGTAGCTGGGACAAAGGCAGAGGCGGTAGTGATGGAAAGGAATGGATAAATTCAAGAATTTATGATGGAATTGTAAGGAAGTTGAAGAGGAGGGGTTGAGAATATCCTCAAAGTTTTCGGAAACTGTGTTGTCATAGATGACTAGAAAAGTTGAGCGTCTGGGGAAGAAAGGTCAAATGCTATTAGGAAGTCAAGTAAGATGAATTGAAGAAGTGGGAACTAGATTAGAATGGATTCAGGAGTACAGGTGAAGAAATGGAAAAAACTAAAAGCAGAAAATAGTTTTTGAGTAATAGGTATTTTCAGAGTCCAAGGAACCATCAAAGAATTGAGCAGCTTAACACAAGGAAAGAAAAATAATTCTTTGTTTCCAGAAGAGAAAAGAGAAGAGAGAATTAAGAGATGGGAGTAGGAGTGGGTGCCAGCACGATGGCAGGGCACTGGGAGAGATGAAGGGCACTGAGAAATTCCTAGTAAAAATATAACCAATATGACTTTTAAGAATAGAACTATATAATGGATGATAATTTTTATTGTTGATTTGCCCTACCGTGTGGGATGCAACCAGTTCCAGTAAACCCACTTTACTAGAGAATACTTCTTGTTAGTAGGTTTTATGATAAAATAGAAAAAGGGCTGAACTTCTAGTCTGGGGCTCCTTGGTATGTCAAAAATAACAGACTAGGACAATAGAAGAAAAAATCCTCTACCCGGAAATTTACAGAAATCTTGGAAACTGGACTTTTAGCCAATCTAGACCTCAAGGGATAGGAAGACCCCAATTGATATTAAATCGTATAACCTCTAGCTGTGTTTTTACTGACTGGCTAATATCAAGGAACAAGGTATGTGGTCTGTGACCAGTACTTTGTCTAGAGATATCAGTACTTTGTTACAACCAACTGAATCAATCTGCTCAAATTATAACTAGCTATTACTAACGTCGTTAGTCAAGCAAGGATTACAAACATAAACACTTTCCAAGACGAGAAGACAATATAACCTATGAAGGGACCACTGGTAGAATGTATGGTGGAGCAAAGCATTTATTCCACATGAAGTCATTAAAAATTCAAAGTTTAAAAATTTGCAGGACTAACATATCGCATAAACAATTCCCTTATCTATTATGTAAAATATTAACCCAACAATTAATTTTTCACCCTTTAATATATCTGAATATCTGTGATTGGAATAGTAAATCAATATTTTGGTTCTTGGGAAAACCAAATGTTTATTTTTAAAAATTGAACTTTCCAGATTTTTCTCTGAGAAATATTTTGGAGATGATGAGTATGGACTTTGGCATATTCTCACTACCAAACAAGCTGAGTGATCTTCGTTAAATTGCTTAGCTAATATTTAATAAAATGGACGTGATAGGACTTATAGGATTGTTGTCAGAAGAGAATTGAATGAGACAATATATCTATTTTGTAGCCCAGGACTTGGTACAGAATAGGCATTCAATAAATGTTAGATTTAGAAATTGCATTGAGATCGTGCCCTATTGTCAACAAGCAAAATTCCCTCAAGCCTCCTTCAAAAAAATATATATTGAATGCCTTTGTGAGCACTGGGAATAGAGCAGTGAACAAAACAGAAATCCTTGCCAACATGGAGCTTATATTTTGGCAAAAAAGAACATGTAAGTGAATTTTTCTTTTTGACAGTTTCTACCAGCTTTTAGAATCTTTGTAAAATAAACTGGCATATCTTGAAATTAGTCAATTACATCGGCTTTGCTAAACCAAACTAATTATTCCCCTAGCCATATAGCATATTTTATCCCCATTGATGTTTAGCACTAAGATTTTTAGATCTTAACATTTCTCTTTAAAAGAGACCACAGAAATAGTTTCATCCCTTGGTGTCTCTCGGTATGGCCCTCTGGTAATAGAAATAATAGAATGCTAGAGATGTTATCGCTAAGAAAGACCTCAAGTAATTAATTCACGCATTTTATTTTTCAGTGGAGACATGGAAGCCCAAAGTGTAAGTAAGCTGAGCAAAGATATATAGTTAGTATTTCTAAAACAGATGCCTTTTAATGGTGTTCATTTTGTTAGGGGAAAAATGTACCTCCTGTGTCCTAAATGCCATGAAATTGGTGGAAAATGTACTGATTTGAATGACCTCTGTTTTTGCTAACAGCTGGATTCCAATGGGGAACTGCTCATCAGAAATGCCCAGCTGAAACATGCTGGGAGATACACATGCACAGCTCAGACAATTGTGGACAATTCTTCAGCTTCGGCTGACCTTGTTGTGCGAGGTAAGTTTCAACATCTTAAAATTACAAAACCAAAGGCATTTGACTTGGATAAATATGTATAAACTTCTGGTAACTCTGGTACGAATTCTTATATATTTAGAGCCTTGATCCTTGAGAACAGCTTCTCACCCATGCCTAAGAATGATTTATGCCAGACAAGTAGTAAACAACCTTGATTTTGTTTGTTTTACTAACTACATTTCTTCTAGACACTCATACCACATACCTCCCACTAAATGTTTGTGCTTTTAAACGTAGTCCTTACCAGAACTTCTCGATTTCTGCTAATACTTTTGGTGTCTTGAGTATAGTGCTGTTTCCTTTTTTATTTTTTATGGACAAAATAGACTGGCGCTGTTTACTATAACCTCAAGTTTTATGTATTGATCACTATCATCTTAGAATAAAAAGTTAATTTATACATGTATCATGTTTCTATTGTTGCTGGTTTTTAGACCAGCACTTTTGTTACTATAAATAATTGATAATGTGCTGGGATATATACTTGTTGAAAACACAACCCCTTTACTAGCCTATGCTGTGTAGCTGTGAGGCCAAGTGAGAACATGTCACATCATGTTTAAAATCATTCATTGGCTCTTTACTCACTGCCTATGAAATGAAGATCGTTCCTTTTAGCTGAGCACCCAAGAAGTTCCATGTGTTGACCTCAGCGTATTTAGCTTTAATGTCTCATAACCAACTCCATTGTCCAACTAGTCCAGAAAATATCCTAGGATTTCTACCTCTGTTCCTTGGTTCACATTTTTCTTATGTCCTGTTGTTGTTTGTTGTTCAAATCTTATCTATCCTTCAAGGTTTGGCTCAAGTATTACCAAATTCATGAGTCCTTTCCTGATGTCCTAAATATGAGCCCCTCTCTTCTAAACTTTCATAACAGTTGCCACTTTATCTAAGTGTGTGTTATAGGAATCTGTGCACATGAATTATCTTCTCTACTAAGCTGTGAAATTCACAGAAGCATTTTTTAGTAATATTTAGTGAGCTGCAGAATTCAGTTGCATAGTGTCATAGCTCTCTTTTTTCTCTCTCTGTCTCAGTATCAGGTTAAAATTTCTATTTTTTCACATTTCACCTACTAGAAATATTTGTTGACCATATTTTCAGTCAGTTTTTGCACAGATAATTAGTAAGTAAGAGGATATCTGTGGTTTGTTTGTCTTAATACTCCTTGCAGATCCAGATCAATAAATTTCACTCAGTCTCATGCACTTCCTGCATTTCTCTGCAGAGCAGTGGTAATAGGGAGTTCCCAAGTCACACTGTGAAAATGCCAAAAAGCCTTTTATTCTAGTTTAATGAATTTTTCAATAGAAAAAGTCTAGTCAAAGTTTCTTTATCCAAATGAACTTAGACATTCATTCCACACACCACTTAGTGAAAATTAATAAAACTCCAAGGCTACAAAATGCTGAATCAGAGTTCATTTAGGTTCAGTATTTCCAGTAAGAGTGTTTTGTTGTCTGGGACATATATTGTCTTTGAGAGTTATCAGGGAGAGAGACTAGCTCACCATTCTTTCTAGTCAGACCGCTTAGCTTTAAGCTGTTTCCAGCAATACCCTATGTATGTATTTATGCAGCAGTTTGCATGTTAAATGATTTAGCACTAATGTTAGAATAGGGGTTATGTTAGAATGCAGGTACGTCAGTGTCTTCATGTAATTACCTTGTAGTAAACTCCTAGTGTTCAGACAGAAGTGGAAGTTCTACAGATATAATCAAGAGTAGTAATGATATTGTCCACACATACTTTGGTAATTAATAATCATCAGAACATGTATTTTTTATGGAGGTAAAACTAACAAAAAGAAGCTATAGCAAGTATTATGTAGAAATATAAAGGGGTTTTTTTCTAAAGCCTATTAGTCATCAGAAAAATACCTTAAAGCAATGGAACCTGGGAAGTGCGCTCCATAGAAATATGATAAAGCATTGTAAGTCCATGCCCTATAGCAGGATGTTAATAAAACTATCCCGGTAGATGAAAAGCATTGCTTAGCACTGTCTGCAGAGTCATAATCATTCTGCAAACTTTATTTCTAATAATATAAAAGGTATTCATTTTATGTCAAGAGAAATTTGCAATTAAAATAGTCAAATACATTTCTGCATTGCTTGTGTCAAAAACGTATATAAAGCGATCTTCAAATATGCTTTATGTATTTAAATCATAGGATATAAAATTAAGTAGTTTTCTTTATTTCTTGTAACAATGATAAGTAATATATAAGAAGACATACCATGCCTTAAGTAATATTATTATTGGTCCATTTAACCACTTAATTATATTTTTTCATCTAGTTCAGGAAATTATAACCTGGAGTCTGTGGATAGGCCACAGCGGTCCATGAACCTCCTGAAATTGTGTGTAAAATTCTATGTGTATGTGTATGAGCATTTTCCTAGGAAGAGTATTTATAATTTTTATCAGATTTCCACAGCCAGCAATGGCCCAAAAGGCTATTTTTGGCTACAAGGTTAAAAAGCCTAATCTATTATTCTTTTTTTCATCATTTAGATCAAGACTCTCTTAAAAGAGAAACCAAAGGATGATAATTCATTTCATACTAATAGAAAAACTAATAAATTTCACGTAGTAAAGTCTATTAGCACATTTAGACTGTGAATTACTTTAGAAAAATTCCATTTTCTCTCTATTGCTCAAGAATATGTCTGTTTCACAAAGCATAATAAGCATTTTTATATTAAAGACATGAGACCTCTGTAAGGACTTGCCAGATTTGAGATCAACTAATTCTAATTCATATTCAGATATCAATGATCTGAACTGGAGATTCTGAAATTAGTGCTATGAGAGGAACAGTGAACAGAGTAGAGGAGAAAGTAATTTCTTCTGATGATCACTAAGAAATATTTTGATAATAAAACTAGTTTAGTGCATAAACTATTGTGAAGCCTATCAGAGAGCTAAAACAAAAGTAGAAATATTCAGACATAACTTAGGCAATCTTTTAGCCTGTGTTATCTTGAAGGAAATTAAGACATGGTGAAAATTGTTGTGCTCTCCATATCCTCACTGTGTGTTTGTGTGTGTGTGTGTGTGTGTGTACACATTTATAGTCATGGATGGGTGGGTGTGGGTGTATGTGTAAAGCTTGATGAAATTAATTTGTGTGAGAGAGAAAAATGTATTTTAGGCTTATGCCTTTTATCATTATTTTAAATTGAGTTTAGAATGGAGGCTGTGAATTAGTTAAATCTGAGTGCTTCTAAATATAAAACTGAAATTAAATATAGGAAAAACATAGCCAAAGGAAAAATGTAACATTGGATCTGATTTCATGGGGCTTTTTACCCACAGAAAACTTATTCCTCCTTTTATCTGTTTAAGGTGTGGTAGGACTGAGAAATAAGGAAGACAATAGCATTGTTGTCAACCAAAAACAATATATAGAAAATGGCCCAATAATCAGATATGAACCATTGTCTTTTGATAGCAGCCATAAATGTTTACTTGTAAAAAGCTATAGCACTTCGATTTATTTACCCACTAACTGAGCCCACAGATGCTCAAGAAAAAGAGACCATAAAAGTGGCACTCATTGTCTGTTTCTCCAACTACGCAAACAATTTCAAATCATGGGGTCATATAGGGCGTGTAATTTTCACTTTTGATTTCCAAAGCTGCCTTCTATATTAGTTCTAGCCTTTCAGTTTGGAAATATTTCTGCTAGTCTTCTATAGTAGAGAGAATATTTTTGCAAAAAGTAACCTTTACTCAAACAATATTGTCCTGGAAGCCCAATATAAAGAGTTCAAGCTGCACTGATTGAAAGAAGTCAAAACTATTTGTTTTTCTGGCAATATGTTCATTCACTGCTCTAAAAACTCTTTCACTAAAAACTCCAAAAATTTTAGGTAAATCGATAAACATTTTCCTCACAGCCCTCACAAAGGCAAAAGACTACCCTCTCTGAAATAACAAGCCTTCGACTCAGCACCCTCAGGATTCCAACAAATTTAGATAAATCAAATATGAAATGATGCAAAAAATGACAAGCCCATAATGAAAGAGAATCAGGAGAGGAAAAACAGAACAGTAGAATTAGATACTCTAATAGTACTTCAGATACTCTAATCAGCATCAGAACAATAAAAATAATCATGCCAAAATCTTTAAATTAATAAGAGAAGAAATGGTAAAAATGAGTTGGAAATAAGATACTATAAAAATGAGGCAGATTGGGGGAAAAAAGAATACCTATAAATGATAAGCACAATCATTAAAAATAAAAAATCAATAGATGGGTTCAACAACAATTAGAGGCAGATTATGAAAAAATAAGGGGCCAAAAAGATAGACATGGGAAATTACCATATTTCAGCACAGAAAAACAAAGACAGATTATGAAAAAACAGATTATGACATTAAAGATGTAATGAGAAAGTAATATTTGTCAAGTTGGATTACCAGAAGAAATATTACAGAAAGTAGGAGAGAAACAAATTTCAAAAAGATAATGACTACAGATTTGGGAGAATTAGTGACGAACATGACTCTTCATTTTCAAGAATCACAATGAAACACAAGAAAAATTTATAAAAGTAAATAAATAAAACTGTAGAACATTCAAGACAAATAGAATATCCTAAGAAAAGAGTGAAAAATATTTTTCTGTAAAGGCAGGGCAATGCACTGACAGCAGTCTATTCAGCAGCAAGAATAAAAGTCACAAGGTAATTGAGGGAGCCAGGCTTCGAGATAGCCCCCAATGATCCTTGCTTTCTGGTATACCAACCCTCGTGTAATTCCTCTCACACTTGGTCTGTGTGCTAGCAGAAGTGACAGTGCTGACCAGTGTTATAGATCACATTGCTGCCTCTGCCTTGGTGTTTGGAACTCTCAGTCTGGAGGAAGTCATGAGGACATTTCCGCAGTCTTGCATGAGGAGGAAATGAGGCCTCCTGTGATAACCAGCACTGATTTCCCGGTCATTTGAGCGAGCCATCTAGAGA